TAGCTTTCTGTGCCTTCCCTTTCTCCTCCTTTTGCCCAGGGTTCTGCTAGTTCTCCTATATCCTTTTCTCTTCTGTAACCTGTCTTCCTTCATTTGTTTCCTTCACTATAATTAGCATAGGTCCCTTTGTTTCCTCCCCATTAGGCTTATTCTTCTTCCTGCAGTTTTCATCAGTGTGCCCATATTTCTGGTAGAACTTGCACAACGTAGGTCTCCAGTCATATTGCACCCTTTGTTCAACCAGATTTCCCCGTTCATTCCGGAATAATATCTTTTCAGGTAGTTTGCCATCAATGTCACCTTAATCAGAAGCCTAGCAAAGCTCAAACCCACCTTTTTTTCTGTATTTTGGTCCACCATAAGTGATTTCCCGATTAAACTTCCAATTTTACTTAGTCCTTTGGAACTCCAATATTTAAAATCCAATCCAGGTAATTTTACCCAAATGGGTACTGTATGTAGTTCCTCTTTCGTGAACTCCATCTCTGGATTACAAGCTTTCACTATGAACGGCTTATTATCAAAATGATAAATGCCTCCCTGAACAACATCATCCCTCCCAATTACAGAGTCAAACCTTACTACTACTATCTCATTTTTTAGCATTAGTATATTATTTATCTCATATTTAGCCCACAAACGTTATATGTAGCCATTCAGTACTGAAAAATGGGAGTGTGCCCCCAACGCACAACAAACAACAGCAGTTTGCCAATACTCAATTTCAGAAGTTATGTCATCTACTTCAATTTCACAAACAGGTACCTCATCGATTATCTCTGGCGTAACAAAAACTAATTTGAAACCATCATTCGATATCTTGTTGATGTCGAAATTGTCCCAAACTGAGCTCTTCCAGGTCGATTTTCCTGATTTCTCCGGTTCAATCGGCTCTGCTTCAACTTCTTCTGCCCATGATATCTTCCCGTTGCTACTGGATGCTTGGATTGCAGACCATTCCTCTATAATTTGAGAATTTCCACTTGATGTACCATGTTCTTCATTCACCTCTTTCCTTTTCTCCGATGCTTTTGGGTTACTATTTTTCGTCTTTTATGCTTGATTTTTCTGTCGTTGTTGCTGGTTGCGTATTTTCTGTGCTTGTTCCTGCGCCATTCTCACCTTCTCCATAGGAATTCGAGCTCTCCTTCCTATGGATGGTGTAGGTTATGCTAACTTACGCCCAAAGAAAAATGTGATAATTTTTTTGGGACAGATTAAAAAGAAAAAAATATTATATAAAATGGGATGAAGGGAATATAGGTACAAAACATAATTTATATAAAACTCTCCATAAAAATAAATATACAATATTTGGCTCTATGTAATGTATTATTTTATATCGGATAAAATATGAAATATGAACAAAATTGAGATATCCTAGCTGTTAGGAATCCAAATGTTTAATCATATAAGCTCATTATTATACATTGTTTATTCTAATAATGACCAACCACGAAAGAGTTTCTTGTATTCTAATTTGATTAAAGGATGGCATTTTCGTTTCTTATTCTACTAGGTGCAACAATATAATTTTACACTAGAGATAATTTTGGTGGCAATTTTATTAGGCAATTAGTGAATTTGTCGCGCTCTGCGCGGTCATAAAATAAATAATTGAGATTTAAAAATTTCCTTTATAATTTTAATTCTATAAGTTGAATATGTAGAACATATTTATATTTTTAACAGTTAGCTCAGTTTTACAAAAAATAATTTGAAGTCAACAAAAAGAATGATATTAAAACTACAATGATATATGCTTAATAACTTCATATATACAACCATTTCGTAAAAAATCTTTTTGTGGTAAAAAAACAATAATTAGTAATAAAAACACATAGTATATGATTTAACTTTTTCGTCATTCATAATTAGTAAAATTGTGTTGTCATTAGCAATTTTTTTTTTTTGTAAATTAAGTAATCTATAAACCACAATAGAAATTTCTATATTCATTGTGACATTACACTTCTCCATTGAAGTAGTAGATTTCTCCAACTAAAAATCTCTTTTACTTCTTCATTACTAAAAGGGAAAAAAGGAAATTATATTTTATTTACTTTATTCACTGTCTACATGCATGAGATGTGATCTCTCTCTATATATATATGGAGGATTTAAAGACATTTATGATAGAATATATATGATCAAGGCAATCCTAGATTCCTAGCGTTCAACTTCACTCAGTGTCTCTACATTTCAAGTAATGGTTGGGGAATATTTATCTTTGTTATCTATTTTTTCGTGAAAAACTTTATGTTTTTTCGGTCGGCGATTTAACTAATTCTAGTATTCTTAAATTTTCTTAAAAAGAAAGAGAAAAAACTTTTCAAGAAAGTCATTTCTCTTATATCAGTTTCCTACTCTAAATTAAACACGATTGTCTGATCCTTAATCTTCACCAAGCGGGATTCTTCAAATAAGGGGAGGTAAAAAGAACAAAGCTAATTAGGAAAAAAAGAAGAGAAAAAATATATACGTGTTCTTTGGCCATAGGAATATATATGTAAAATCTACACTCTACACCTTCTTTTCCTTTTTGAGATTTATTTTTACGATAAAGAAAAGAGAATGGAAAATAAACCCACAAAACAAAATAAGAAAAAGGGAAAAATTTAAAAGATGAAAAAAGACGAAGAAGATAAAAATCAAAAAGTTTCAGATTAGGTAAAAATGGAAAAAGAAATGCACGTACTTTCTTCTTGTCTTTTTCCCTAATCTTACCACTTAGAAATGTTATATATAGGTGTTAACAAAAAGTGAGATATAATTAAACCTGACCAAAAAAATGTGTAGAAGAAGATTTGGAGGCTGGGAAGAAAGGAATAAAGATAATCTATAATTAAAGGCAGTCATAAAAGTGAGTAAAGGAAGAAAGTAAATGCATATATTTCAAGGAAGGAAATCGAAACAAAGAGGTTGAGAAGACGCTTGCGGTGAAAAAAGGACACGTTTCAACAAAAAGTTGTAATGATCAGTGTTTTAAAAGGTGTGGGCGTAAGACGAGGCGTTTTATATATGTCTCAGTGGGGCGTAAGCCCCATAGGTATTTAGTTTTTAATATTTTATAAAATAATATAATGACAGTAAATATTTATAAACAGGTAAAATTACATAAAAATTGAAGAAAACTATATATATGTGTGCTCCATCCTCACAAAAAACTAATCAAAACAATCTATTATACGTTACTTACAAGCACAAGTAATTTGAATCTAAAAAAATAAAGTTTTCTATATGGAGGAAAAAAAAGGATGATTAACCTACAATTTAAACTTTGAATTTGCTGCTATGAAGAATAATGTAGTTCTCTTTGTATTTGTAAAAAAATTTAAATATTCGTTGCTTTTGGGAGATATTAGCAGACTAGCGGACATGATAAAAAATTGAGAAAATCATGAATTAGGGCTTAAATCAATAAAAAGGGGTCTTTACTTTTAAATTTAATACTTTTGAGTTCCTTTTTAAACCTTTTGAGTAATTATCAAACTGACTTTTGAGAATTTGGGCATTATATGAAGGACTAATTCAACAAATTTTGTTTTAGTTTGAAAAAGTCTCTGGGGCTTACTACTTACTAAAAAAACGTGTCCCGAACACCCGGGCGTGCGCCCCAAATTACGGGGCGTACGCCTCTTGAGACTTTCGCCCCACACCATCGCCTCAGGGCGTTTTTGGTACGCCTCGCCCCGGGGCTCGCCCCGAAAACGCCTTTTAAAACAGAGGTAATGATACATAATAGTGAGGAAAAAGAGGCGACGTAATAGGTGCAAAATAAGAAAATTAATGCACCGTTTTAGGAAATTAATCTTTTAGATTTATTAATTGAGTTTATTGTGTGAAAAGAGAATAAAAATCCCTAAAATTCTAAGAAAATAGATAAATACATTTCCTCATCAACAAGAGATGACACATCACTTTCTAAGGGTCCTGCTTTATATTTATATATAGATATAGATGCTTAAGGGAACTCATAACTCTAGACCCTCATAAAAAAAAATTAGAGATAAAAAAAAGGAATTTAGCAAACCAAGGTACAAGTACTAAGCCACAAGGTATAATACTCATAAAGAATACATAGTTTTGTCCACAGACTGATCTTTAGAAAAGCTAAAGTTGGGCCAAGGGCAGTCCGCTGCACGAAGCATCCCGCGTTTACACAGGGTACGGTGAAAGACCGCACCCCGATGGAGTCAAATTTGTCTCTAGAAAAAAAAAAAAAAAAAACTACAATACAAACTAGTAGGATTAAATTGTATTCCCTATAAGAATGAATGTCTTGAACTGGGAATTCCATTTACATGGAATTAATATTTTTATCTATACAATGAATACAAACCAATATATGAATGCAGATTCTAATATAAATGTAAACCGTAAAGCATTATTAAGGTGTAACAATCTTGAATCTCCCCGCGGCCTTTACTTCATAATTTCCAGCTGCAAGCAGAAATATGACAGTCGAAGGGAAAGAACAGCGCGATTATATGGTTATTCTACAGATTTTCACTTGTTTGTTCGCGAATAGACAGAGGAACCTGCAGTTTTTAGCTTGGCATTGGTTTGTTCTCCAAAAAAGATCTCAATAGAATGAAAGCTTGACGAGGGCGATGAAGTGGCACTTCGTGCCCTGCTCCTGTTACAGTTACAAGCGTCAACCCTTTGTATACTTGGCTCCATCCTCCAACCTATTTATAGAATAAATACAAGGACAAACGAAAGCATGAATTTTCGATAGAGGAGAGGAAAAGATGCAAGGTTGTCAAGAAGAAAACAGTTTGCATGTCCATTTTCTCAATTATGACTAACCTTTTTATTGTCATACCAAGGGTACCAGTTGGTGATAGTTGGAAGCTTCAAAGCATCTATAGAATAACGAGTTGCGGTTACAGGAACAACTGAATCAGTATCCCCACTGCAAAGAAAGTCAAATGTTTAGGAAAATCAGGTTCTGATAAAAGATAAGCTGAAAAGTAGACGTTATGGCACGGGTTGTCTTGGAGGGGAGCCTAAGAGCAACGGTAAAGTTGTCCCGTGTGGCCTATAGGTCACAGGTTCGAGCCGTTGAAGCAGCCATTAATACGTGCAGTAGGATAGACTGTCTACATCACACTCTTTGAGGTGCGGCCTTTCTCCGGACCCTGCGCGAAGGCGATATGCCTTGTATACCGGGCTGCCCTTTTTCTTCTGTGACGACTGACGAGGCAGTTATGCATAAATGATGATGATTCTAGATGAAACAAACGTATCAGTCCATTCTATTACTTAGTTAGAAGAGGAGACACATAATGTGAGACGTTTCCAGTTCATCTTTCATACTTGATATTCTTCATTTGAAAAGCCAAATGAATGTTTCTTAGGTCGGGGCTGAAAAATGCTCAAGTCTTATGGCAGAATAGTATACTTCTAATACTAACGGTGAAACCTACACAAATCAGCTATATATAATGCGAATAGATAGAAATTCCTGCTGAATCTCTTTTGAGGTACCTTTGTCTGCCAAAAAATAGGAAGCTGACAATTGACCATTTATTATATCATTTCGTGAAATTCAAAAAGCATCTTGAACCTTATCATAGAAGTTAATTATAGTACTTTAGCATATTGAACCTATTATTAGTGGCAGTCTTGTATTCTAATATTGTAAATTTCTATCACTACACGTTTTTCCGTTCACCTTGTTTTCTTTTATCTTGTTCTCGTTATTGCTTGTTGCTACTGCTCTTTTCTCATTTTTTCTCGTCCCGAGGGTCTACTGGAAATAGCCTTTCTACATTCACTGTAGGGGTAAGATCTGCGTACTATCTACCCTCCCAGACACCACTTGTGGGACTATACTGGGTTTGTTGTTTTGTTGTAGCATATTGAACCTTATCCCTAAAAGGAGTAACTGAAATAATGCAGTACGCCTCGCTAGCAGAGCAACTCTTAGCTTAAATATTATCAGCACATCACATAGAAGAACACAGGCCCAAAAAAAACTATTTCTTCAAAGAAAAAGAGGAGTACTTCTTTCAAATATGAGATTTTTATAGATGAAGTTCTTTCCCGTAAATAATAGTACGGGATAACCAAAGAAAAGAGATGACTGAAGAGCAAGGGATCTGTTATACAGCCTGCCTGGTGCACTAAGCTCCCACTATGTGCCAGGGAATGGCTGGACTATAATGGTCTATTGTACGCAGCCGTACCCTGCATTTCTGCAAGAGGCTGTTTCCACAGCTCGAACCCGTGATCTCCTGGTCACATGGTAGTAGTTATGCCAAGGATCTGCTATACAGCAACCTATTTTTATGAAAGTTGGTTAGGGAGAGTGAGATGAGTGTCAAACAGACAAGATCTAGGAACAAGGAAGCCAAAGTCCTCTATACGATGACACATAAACCATTTATTTGGTATACAACTACCAAAGTTTAGATCCTGGTTCAGACAAAATCTCTCAACAAAACAGCCTAAGCCCTATCAAGGCAGTATCAACATATGTAAAACACAAGTTTAATCGTTAATAATTTATCTTTACAAAAAGGAACATGTTCATCTCTAAGTCCATTAAAACAATTATCTATACATCAATAATGACTTAATTATTTAAAGTTCACTCTGACATAAAAGAAAACAAAACGTTCAAGGAAAACAAAGAACGGTGGGGAAAAAACAAAAACACGAAAAAGAAAAGAGGATGAGAAACTAGGATGCTAAAGTAAACTTTATAGGGATTACATAGTATTTGAAGGTTAAAGACGACCTAGTTACTGATGTCTGAACAACAATATTTCTGTGCTTGAAAACTTTGCATATGGTTATCCTGTCCAGCTCAAGATTACGAGCTAGTTCAACACCTTTTTCTTGGGAAGTAATAACAATAGCGCTTAAATCAAGGATCACTGAGATTAAACTTTACACTAGCTCCCTATGAACTTAAATTCCTGACTACTTTAATCATTAATGATAGGTACATGTGCGAATATGTCTTCTATGAGATACAGGTAATCACTGAATTTTATGAAAGTTGAACCAGAAGAAAGACGCATTTCAAAATCAAGCAACAAACACCATTCTTGCTTGATTTAACTGCTTATTGGATTTACAATAGGGAGATCTGGACTTTCCGTAGTAATATATTTAATTTTTGCGTCTAATAAGAATAAATCACTGATAAAAGAGGGAATAAATGTATAGGCTCCTATACGACAAATTTATGGTATAGTATTCATGTCACTTCCAATTACCGATATTGAAATAATTAAAGGTTTCCAAAGGTGCAAATGATGTTTAATAACCAATGAAAATAGAGGGGCAAAAGAAGACTGTGAAAAGGAGGATTTACTTAGCCTTACCTGAATACCCATATCCTGAGACCAGCAGCTATTAGCTCTTGGTAGATGGGAAGCATTGACAGAGGAGAATCGGCCCAATAGTTTCCAACAATGTCACTGGAAACCAAAAAAGATCCAATTAAAATCTATCAACAAGTTTGAAGATAGGAAACTTTTCAACTGCCAAAGTTTTTCAAACAGACCTGCATGTTTTCCAAGGATAGGCAACCTTAGTTACATTAGCATGGAATGCCTTTTGTACCTCGGGGAGATTAAAATAAATTTCAGAATATCTCTCGGTACATGGGTCATATGCTCTGGACATCCACGGCTGCATGTTTGAAACAGGAAGAGAAGTTTAAAAACTTGAATGTACAAGAACGAATAGATAACCAAAAGGACTTAAATATCAAGATCAGATGTGTACACAACCAAATGGTGAAGTCTAGAATGATAAAGTGTCAAAACGTATTTTAATAAAAAGAATCTGAAACATGTAACTTGAAATAAAATAGGGTCAAGTAAGAACTTGTTTTAGAAACAAAAACAAAGATAGGTGGACTACTAGTCAAGAAAGGAGATTTAAGGGAAATTGCTGGCATCGACGGGTTTCCTTGCAGATGACGCGCTTGTTTTACAGGTCCAAAAAATTAAGTCATTTGTGATTTTACTGCATGGGAGCATCCACAGAAAAGGAAAGAAGTATATGGAAATCTACAACAAGCATGTTATCGATGATAAGTGAAGAACAGCTCCGGAATCTGCTAGTAGCTTCTAACACAACTCTGACAGACAGCTTTTACCACAAAGAACTCTGATAGTTTTTCTTCTGTCTTTTTCTTTTCGAAGGGGGAAGGAGGGAGTGGATGGGGATGCATGTTTATGATATAGCAACATCCACAGGTTTTATTTCACAAGTCATCTGTCTATTTGAGGGTGCTAAAGTAAAGATGCAAGTTTTCAAGAATTGATGATACTCCAAATCCTCTCCCTCCAAAAACCATATTGAAGAGGCACTCCTCTGAAGGAAAGTTTACAAAAATACAGTAAGCTTTCTTTCTATGACCTAATATCAAAGATAGACCGACCATTTGAAAACATAAAGATCTTGTATACTGGCGAAAGTTAGTCATTTATGGCACTGTCTCACTAAAAAAGGGATCAGTGTTACTCACTGCACAAGAAAGATACTCTAATGCTTGCGTTCTCTCTCACACATGACCAAACAAATAGATTCAGATGAAAATACAGGCACCTAGATAATAAACCATTCAGCGCCTCCGAACCATCAGAAATGCAATCCTCCAATTTAACTTAACAGTTGGCAGGTACCAGCATAAAACACTGATCCACTGAGAAAGGGATCCATATCATAAGGAGACATTACTTTGATAGATGCTTATATTTTGATGAAGGGTTAAGAACTTCAAAATCTTCACAAGGTGAAAAAGAAAACGGCAGTTATGTTTTTGGATCTTTGTTAGTCATCTTTAAGGATGTAAAATTTTGGTAAAGCTAACCACTTGCCAAGTCAGGCACCAGAAAGAGGGTTCTACTTCAGATTGAGATATCAATTCTAAGTACGCACACTTTCAACCATATAATCTAAAGCTCCAATTCTTTCACATTGCAGGAACTTATCTGTCTCTTTGATTTTTTTAAGCATGTAATGTTTTTCTAGGCATTCTAGAAAACTAAAGTTTTGTAAGTGTTTACAGAATCAAACCAATATTATCACAAGTAGTATATCTTCTTATTCTTTTCCAGTCTTAGTTAAACATTCTGCAATTACCTGCATTTGCGACTGCGAAGTGGAGTGACATAAGAACATAAAGAAAAAGACTCACATAATGACCCCTTAAGTTGCGCCGAAGTGATGAAGTACTAGCACAAGGACGAGTATATATGCTATAAGGGTCAATATTTCCCTGCTCTTGTTCTGCAAGAAGAAGAGCTTTAGTACAATCAGTGGAAGGATGTTCAGAAGATCCTTTGTCACATGTTATCTGGAGAAGCTTGTACGTAGAATCCGAAATCAAGCCATGGGTCCACCAGTACTCGAACGTGCCAATATAGTCATGGTAATCATCGGTAACAGCATTCCCCACCTAAAAAGTACAGCCAGAGAAATAGACCTTGATAAAAACAGACTGTAACTTAACATTGCATTCAACGTTAAAATTTTCATTACTACTACCATAAAGCCCTTGAAATTAATAATCGGGTTCTTGATTCCCTTGTTCCTTCGGTAGACAAGTTGAGATAGCTGTGGAACATAATGCCCTAAACATATACAAGAAAAATGAAATTAGTATCTTATGATAGCACTCGTGCACCGGGTAACTCAGAACTTTCGGCACGGAAGTAGAAATTCACTAAAATTGTAGGTCTGAACCCATAATTTTAAGAATACAATGGGTTCAATACTAAGAAACTTAAAAGTTGAATTCATAGAACTTAAAATACTAAATCCGCCTCTGATGATACTAGGTGTTGGCAAAATATGTGTAAGCAACCAGTCAGAATGACAAAGATAAATGCTACTCGTAAGTAATGTGTTATGAATAATTACCTGCATAACTTTCTCCAGCAATGTAAAATTCTCTATGCTTGTACTGGGGAAACCTTTCGAACCACTTAACGAGAAACTGGTACGTATCTTCAGCTACAAATCAAAACGCCAGGATTCAACATTTCAGCTTAAACAACATAACTACTATGAATCCTCAATATTTCTCACATTGAAAGCACATACATAATATACAAACATTCAATTACTCAATTATCCTTACCTGTTCTTTGATCACCCGCATTATACAAGTCTGAGGAAGTATTCGTATACGAAAATCCAACCCCAGCTGGCGATTCAAGGAAAAGCAAATTTGCCACTGCCCATAATAACACAACTTCATCAGAAAAATTCAAGAAAAAACAGAATTTAAAACACAGAGTTGTTAAAAACCGCTACATACAATTGTTCCAGGAGTATGGATTCAAGTAAAGTGTCTTCCCATCAGAATCAATATGAAACGGACCGATTTCTTCAGCTGCTCCATAAGCTACTGAAGAACAACCTGGCCCTCCATTTAGCCATAAAATTAGTGGCCTTTTCTCAGGATTTCTACTCACTGGTGACTCAATTAACCAGTAAAACAATGCTCTTCCAGCTTGTTCATTTACAGTAACATAACCTGAATACTGATTGAATTGTACATTTGCTGGTTGACCAGGCAAATAAGTAATTTTATCCCTCAATTGTTCTACATTTATGGAACAATAACAACTACTCAAAAACAACAATGACAAGCAAATTACAAAGGGGGGAATTTTCTCCATAAATTGAATCAAAACACAGAAAATATGAATAGGCACAAAATAAAGCTGGGATCTTTTTCAAGAATTATGTACAGGGGGGGCTAAAATGTTTTTGCACATGTATCACATGATTACAATTCTTGAATTTATACAGATAACAAGGTGAGGTAGTAACAAATACAGTGAAAAACAAAGGGACAAAAACACAATTTTTTTTTCAAGAAAATAATGAGACAAGGAGAAAGACAATAATTGAATAGTACTGGACAGGAGGAAATGAAAATGACATAAAGGTACTACACACTAAAATGAGGAATACCCAGATGCACAGATCTCTAAAATAATTCTTGGAATTATAGTTAAGTAGTTGGAGATTTGATCTAAAAGATTCCTACATAACGAAGTTACACATATTTTAAAACCAATTTAATCGCCGCCTTGTGGCCACTGAAAGTGGACTATTTTAGTCAACTCACTGCTCAATTTCTCTTTTTCTACTATTATTATTGAAGTTCACTTTTATTTGTCCAGTATTTTAAAAATAAATTTTTATTTTTATTTATTATTTTTAGCATATTAAGAAGATAATTTCTTTTTTCTTGTTATATTCACAATATTAATTACTTATTTTAAATTATTTTTCCAAATCCATTAAATTAAGTATGCATTAATTAATATGAGTATTATGATAAATTATACACTTAATTTATTATCTCTTAAAGGGTGCAAAACTTACAGTGAACAAGTAAAAATTAACCTAAGGTAATATTACTAAGTATCCACCTTTTGGGGTTTACAATCACTGCATGATTGATGGTTTCGTCATAATTATTTTTAAAAAATTTCATTGTTGTCGACTAATACGAATTTACGCTGTATAAGGTCACTAAGCTTGTTTGGATGGTTGTTACTTATTGTATTGTATCGTATTGTTATTTAAAATACGATGTTTATTTTGATTGTTACTTAAAATTTATTGTATCGCATCGTTAAATCCGTCGTTACGTAACGACGAAATGTAATGACCGATTTGGTGTGGTCGCGTCGTTACCTTGTCTCTTTCTCTCATCTCACCCTTCATTATTATTAAATAATTTTATTTTATCATTTACCCTACTTTTTTATATAATAATTTTATCCCGTATTATAATTTTCTTTATATTGCAAGTTTATTCTTCATATTGATGGTGCGTGATATCATGAAACAACGGCAAACGATACAATCTATCCAAACATTGTATTTATCAAACGATAAAGTACAATATAATACAATAAAATACAAAACAATACAGTACAATACAATACAATATAATACATTATGAAACGATATGTAACAACCATCCAAACAAGTTGTAAAGTGGGAAGCATTCCAACCATAATATTTTCCTTTCTCTGAGGCTCATACCTGAGATTGCATCGTATCATTAAATTTATCGTTACTTAAAGACAAAATATGTCACTTTATGTAACGACCGATTTGGTGGTATCGCGTATCGCATCGTTACCTTCTTTTTCCTCTCATATTGCCCTTTCTTATTATTAAATAATATTATTTAATCTTTTATCTTACCTTCTTATATAATAATTCTATCGCGTACTATACTTTTTCTTTGTAATATTGCAAGATTATTCTTCATATTGTTGATATATGACATCATGAACGACGATGCGTAATGTAATTTATCCAAACATTTAATGAATCAAAACAATACAACACAATGATAAGATACATAATGAAACGATGCACAACTACTAACTAAACAAGTTGTAAGGGGAGGTATCATATCTATCCCACCATAACCTTTGGTGGTTCGGCACAACTATTCTAAGAATAATACTAGCTTTTTACATTTAAAAAATAATAATTTAAAATCTTGTATTATCATAGGCAAATTTAAAATTTTAACTTGATTTGTTTTGACGTTCTTAGCACTGAAAATATAATACTTTTACAATTATAGGTTTGGATCATATATTTGTTAAATATTTTATGGGTTTTCACATAAAAAATTATACTTCGCGTCAAAAATATTGAATTTGGACAAGCGAATACCAAATCATTGGATCCGACCCTACATTTTACCTTAAATTAAATTAGAATAGTCACACAAAATGTTATGACGATTAAGACAAACAAAATTTAATTCATTAATTCCTATATTTCACGTCAGTCAAATTATGTCACATAAATTAGAATGAAAAAAATATTAATTCATCAATAAAGTCGAAATGAAAATCATTAAAAATAGTATTTGTGTGTGAATTAGAGCTGTACTTACATTCTAATTCCCTTCTTTTTCACATAACCCCACTATTGGGTACCGGGAAGTAGAGAACAGTATTGATTAAGGGATACACTTTTTCTCGATTTCTGACGTTATAAAAATAATAAATAATAAAAATAAAGATTTTCTTACGTTACAAAAATAATTAATTATATAAAAAAAAAATTCTTACGTTAGCCACTTTTGGAGCAATTGACCTAACAGGTAAGAGGAGCACTT